GGACTGCCATCAAGCCACCAAGATCTAYATCCRTGTCAGGGTTCSAAGYTKCTCCTCCTGCTGCRGGARTTCTCCTCCAGTGTCTCCTGCTGCCATGACGGGGTGGCATTTCTCCTYGGAGCCCTGCGCTTGGGACGGGCCCGGCCATTCCACTGCAGCCCCTGAGGAGGGCTCTTCCTGCTGTACAGGCTGTCTGAGGAGTCCCCGCCATCCTGAGAGCTCCGTGGAAGCAGCAGCAGCCCATCCCCATGGAGGGACGAGGCCTGGGCCTGGCTCTCCTGAGATGCTGCCTCCAGCTGCCTTTGTCCCACCTGCAGGAAGGAAGAGGAGGTGGAAGAGGAGTGGGATGGAGGCAGCTGCCTCGGCACAGMGTCCCCCCCAGTACCAGAGACCCCAACCCCAGCCTGCAGGCAGCTCTGTGCGGCCCCATTCCATCGCCCCCTGTCCCTCCTGCCCTGTCCCTCACCTGGTGTATCCAGTCCATGCTCGGCCGTCCCTTCTGGGTGTGAGAGTTGGCATTTCTCAAATGGCTCTCCATGTCTGTCTTTGGCATCCTCTGCTGCAGTGCTGCCAGGGGTTCCAGGGGAGATTCAGCCTCCAGCAGGAATTTCTCTCCTGGCAGTGAGCACCCCAGGGCTCTGTGCACCTTCAGTCCCAGTGCTGCCAGAATGGGGCCCTGCAGTGTCACAGGGGACGCAGGGCACAATGTGGCCCTTCATCACAAAGCCCTGGCACCTGACCCCTGACTCCATTCTCAGTGCACGTGTTCCATGGGAGAATAAGAAACTATATATAAAACATAATTTATAATTTTGAACCAATTTTTTTTATGCACAGAACTCAGCTAATTGTGCTAAACTGACAGTTTTATTGACAAAAAATTATAATCTATTATATACAAATACATACAAAATACAGTCTATTTGCATGCGGTAAAAATGATAAACCAGATCTAATTCTAGTGTTTCTGAAGGGGAATCACAGGCTGGTCTCACAAGGCCATTGCCAAGAGGAGTCTGGCAGCAGGATGGCCTGGGGACAGCTCTACACCCATCCCTGCTGTGCCTGCCTGTGTCACTCTCAGAGGACAAAAAGGAGTGGATGGTGCATGGCCAGTGCTTGTGGGTGTGGTGGTGGCTGGCCTGGCCTGGGTGCTGCTCCCATGATGGCTGGGCCAGACCTGCCCTCGCTGGGGCAACGCTTTACTTGACTTGCTCATGCTTGGTATCCATGGGATCAGCTTAGGCAGGAGATAAACTGTAGGTTTACTTCCATCTGAAGTGAGAAACTTGTTTTGGTACAGCTGGACATGACACAGCAYGGAGTCTGGCAGAGCTTGCTTTTCTGTCCCAGGATAGCCTACACTTGTATCATAGCTTGTCACATCAGAAACAAGGTCAAAGTATGCAGAGCTACACACACCCCTGAAATGCATACAACCCCCAATGATAAGCCGCAGTCAAGTAGGTAATATAGGCCACTATTGGGCAATCAGAACTCTCGGTATGTTTTCTTTAGAGGTGTGCATGATATCTGCTAGATAGCACAAGTATTTCACTTCCTGCAACCAAAGAGCAGGATCCCAACAGCAGAAGTGAAAAATCCAGCCTCTTGCTCTGAAAACTCTGCATGGGACTAGCTCAAAACTCAAGCTCCTGGTGAGCTGGGAACAGCTGGCCCACTCACTTCACATGGGTGCAGCAACCACTTGAGAAAGCCAAACTTCTACTATTGTGCTTCAACAYAGACAAGTGCAAATCACCTGGGGACAATTTAATGGGGCTCAAGTTTCACACCTTCACTGCCCTGCAAGAATGTTGCCTTTTCACACTCACTTGCAAAGGATATGTTCATGCTGACCAAATCCTTCTAATACCAGTCTTTCTCACCTGTTCCTTTAGGGAACAAAACATGTCCCTGTCAYTCATAGAACAAGCATCAGTATTGGGAAGTCAGGGTACAGTATATATGCAAAGAACAAATCAGTATCTGTAATACTCACCCATACACTAATGGAGGACTTGGAGTACTGGGCTRATGGTTGGACTTGATYATCTCAAGGGTATTTTCCAACRWTAATTTGGTGTGTGTTTATGGGTGACATGTGCCCRCCTGTTTCTGGCATCCTGTCAGATACTAGACTCACACCTAAGTTCATGCAATTTGGAATTGCTAGGCAAGGAACTGAATATCCATTTTATAATTGGGAAACTACTTGCAAGAGGAAGAACAGTTGCAATTTAGCTACATACAGGTAGYAGTACGAAGTTGTACAGTTGGACAGGACTCTGTGCAAATAACAATCCCAAACATTATCTGTCTAGCAGGAGAAAACTCTCTATAACTTTCCCCTTCTTTTCCTCAGAAGATTATTAGGAAGTAAATGTAGACCACAGGAAAGCTCTGTGTTTCTCCACAAGTTGTCTAAAATCCAAGGAGGAGCACTGCACACACACTTGGCTGATGGTGAGTGATTAACTGATGCTACAGCCTTTGTAATTTAGAAATGTCTTTCTTACCTGGCTTGTTTGAGGATGCAGGGCCTACATCCAAGATTTAGAAGGAACAGGAAAGCAGGAAGAGGTAGCTGCCAGCCACCACCCCATCATCTCCATAAATGGTGAATACTGAYAGGTCTGTGTCAGTATTGTTGAAGTGAGGACCTTTAGGAAAAGATGACAAGCTTGCATATCTTTGGACATGARGCACATTGTACAAGTTTTAGTCATGGACAAGGATAGTCTGAAGCCTTGAGGGGAAAATGGTTGGAAATTAAGAGCAGACTTTCTACTAAGAACACAAATKTAGGGAATATAAAGGAATATAAATTTTTGTTACAAAAACTCCCCCCACTGCACATGCTATAGGAAATCAAAACCAGGAGGACTTCTGTCCCAATTTTATTTTATTTTTTTTTTACAACACCTGCTTCAATGAAATATTGAAGCAGTCAAACTAAACAGACATTYTATGCTCATACCATTTACAATATTTACAGAATATACATTTTTCTTTTTTGCTCAGCAGGTAATTATAGCCACTTTGGACAAAAGTGCAAGTGAAAATAATCACTGGTGTAAAAAGTTAAACTTTTCCTGTTGATTATGTTGCAATGCTTGAACTAACAGAAGTAGCCACTGGGGTAAATGCTCTTTATAGCAACCAAGCATAGATATCACTTCACAGTGACAGATCCCACTCAGCTGTATTTACACCAAGCCTAAACAAGGAAGAAACTATTATTCTAGCTAGAAAATTGATGAGTAAGTTCACAGGTGATCCCATCATCATTTTAACAYTGAAAAGCRGAATTGCAGTGTTGAATTTTCTACTGTGCACATAGATAGCAATTAATTTCAAATGCTCTGTTGTTTTAAATACTAAAATATATTTTAACTTCCTTATTGTACATGCTATAAAATTACACTAAAAATTTCAAGTTTCTGAAGTAGCAATTACCCTTTATATATATATATATATTTTCTATATAATTTTTAAATACTTAGATTTTTTTATACCCAAGATAAAGATATACTAGCTCCAGTATGGTTGCATTTTATCATAATATCTACCAGAATCCCATACATAACCAAAGCCTCATCTAAAAGCTAGTTTTGCAGGTATTCTACTTTGGTTTCCCTCTCATTTTCACTTCCCTTCTTTTTAAATAACCTTTCCAAAGGTAGCTGTGTACCTTCTAAGTTCAGGTTATGCCCTATCTGGAGTGAGGGCTGAATTTCAGTCCCCTCTAAGGAATAAGCCAAGTCGCAGAACCACTGATGGACAAGCAGCAGGTGACATTYTTCACCTCTTGGAGTGTTCCTTCAGTACAGTACTGCAATCTCCAGGTCAGACACAATTTAATTCTGTCAATGTCTGACATCAACAGGAATTACTTTAGACCTGGATTTTGTTTCATGTACAARGGGGTGCCTTTCCCTACACAAACTGTACAAGCTCAAGTGCAAAAYAGAGTGCATGGTGGTCTCAGCTACATGGTGTTCAACAAAAATCAGTTGAATTTTACAGATACATCTTATCACCCATACAAGTGATTTTCTCGATGGTTGAATCCTCAAGTAGCACCAACCATTTAAAATTTTAATCTTTAATATATATACATACATCTTTTAATAATTTATATACASACACATATAGATGTGGCATCGGTACATGGAGAAACTTATTTACAGTTAGTTGGAAAAATGGACTATCAATTTACAGTATAGGAAAACAAAATTGGCATTTGTGCTTTCTGTTTGTACAGGAGTAATTTTTGTCATTTAAAAAGAAGTTCATACTTTTATTTGCATCAAGACATGTCACATGATGAAAAAAGTTGTAAAACAATTGGGATTGAGAATCATACAGCATTAATTCTCCTCATATACCTAAGCCTACAGAATAGCTGCTTTCTATAAAAAWTCTCCATTCAAATCCCTCTGTGATTGCCCAAGCTTGCTTGAGGATCTTCTTAATAAATAATACACAGCAGAAGAATCGTGCATCCTGTCTTGCACTGTGCACATTCATGAGATAAAAGTTTCTGCCTTCACTGAGTAACACACTAATTATACAGCAGTTAAACTTCACTTTTTACTCRAGACCTCAAAGTGCTTTTAAAAATAAGGAAATACCCCAATCCTACAGAGCAGTTAAGAGGCACAAGGAATAAGGCTTGAATTACTGTCTTCAGACACTGACCTGGCCGTGGAAAATAAGGACTTAAACTWCAGATTCTCCCTGATCTGTTTATTGGGCTGAATAATTCTGTTTTCTCAGGTAATCTCTACTCCTGGAAGTACACACTTGTTTATGACCTATAACGTTAATTAAAAAAAAGTAAAAAAGCAGCTCTGCAGCCCAAACTGCCCAACTGTATTTTAATGAATGTACTTGTCTCTAAATTATATACAGCCCAGCTGTATTTCCATATATGTACTTTTCTCTTGAAAGCATGAAATGGTTTCATAAGAAAGCTGTTGAATTAAAGACAGAGCTAGGTTTAATCTTCATAAAAATTAAGTAAATGCAAGTAGCCTGGTACAGCAGGCTCTAAGTACTTCTTTCACCAGGCTAACAAGTGTTTTCTGGCCAACTYTGATTGGTAATTTCAGCACCAGCCTATATAGAAGTTATTGCCTTCTTGATGTGTTTACACTTCAGTAACCATTGGGGACCAAAAAGGTATTGCCAAGATATACAGTTTTAAATAACTCATTAAAAACTACACTGAATTTCATTAACTTTTTCTTAATTACAAAGACTGTCATGCTGGGTGCTGAAGAAMGATTGCTGCCATCCATCGCAGGAACTAAAATACACAGCATGAGTACCATTACTTTGTAAGCATTTGAATTTTTGAGTTATGTTAGGAGTAAGAGATCTTTAGTGTCCTAGCAGGAGGTCATAGCATTCACATTCAATTCAGGAAACATTCACCTTTTCCAGACCAAAAACTACTCTTCCTTTAGCCACTATTTATGTGCACTTTTGCAATRTTTTTCCACAGGCTTCTTATAAATGGAGTTTTCTTCCAGTCCTCTGTTTTGACTAACTATACTCTTAGAGATGGCTGCAGGATCCCTTTTTCAACGAGGTGAGATTTCAGGGTTTTATACACACTTAATTGTTGCTCAGGCTGAAGTATCAACAGCTGTTTCAGTAATTTGCTGGGATTTGGACCCCTGTCAATGAAAAAAAAAAAGAAAATTTGTGACTGCAGCTCTAAAGCATCTTTTAGGTTTCTTCTTGCTGCCCAAACAATGCCTTCCATTTTTTTGAGGACACCAAGTTACGGATTTCTCCCAGTCTATCTCCTCAGGATGCACAGGCCAGCATTACCGGCAAAGCATATGCTTATCTCAATATCAACAGAAATTAAAAAGTATGTCTATTTGCTGTCAAATGGGATATTAGAAAGGCTTTTGACAAATAATATTCCCTGATTCATCCKTTATCATTGTAATCAATGTTTTTTATTAGCAGATCTTCATTTTGTATCTATTGCCTGTCAGATAAGCTATGTGCTACTGAACTAAATGGGAAGTTGGCCAAGTCAGTAAAGAAAACTGCAAATTAAACCAAGCTTTTCTAAATATCAGCCTAATTTTTAGCYAGCCCCTTACTTGCAATCTACTTCTAAGATGAACCAAATATAAGGCAAAGAATCTGCTGATTAGGTATCTAATAATTATTTAGCCATATGCATTTACAAAACTAAGGCTGTATTTTGGTTTGGCTCCCCTGTCTCAGAAACTGTCTGTTGTCAGAGAATTGGGATTCCCGTGATTTATTCTTGAAAGCTGATATAGTTCAAGTTAGATAATCAGTACTTTTAGGAAGCTGTCTCCTTTCTTGAACCACAGAGTTTTCATCTTAAACAGAAAATACCAAGCCAAGGAACTGAGAAATACTGAAACTCACGGGAAGAACTGCAGTCTCACAATCTACAAGCTTTTTAGGAACCACATAGGAAAAGCAGATGCTGCACATCYCTCCTGCCTGAAACCCCATCTTACATCTTCCTGTAATCAGTAAATTCTAGTAAAACTTCTGATAGGTGGCTACACAAAACTGTCTGGTATTTTGGGTACACAGGTTATCTTCAACAGCAATCACAGAAACATTTAAGCATAGCTTGAACCCRACACAAATCCTAGGCAGGGACATATATTTTCTTAGTAGCCCTTAGTCCTGTATTTGAAATGATTGCATAAATCCTATTTAGAAACATGTAATCTCTGCTATGCTAACATAGCTGCTATRCATTCATTATGGTACAGATCCTATATGTGTAAAAGTAGTTAATATTGTAAAAAGTCCATACCTTATGAAACTGGTGATATAGACATGAACAAAAGTGGCCATCAAGTACTGACAATCAAAGCGATCCATTATCCCACCATGCCCAGGGATCGTGTCTGCAAAATCCTTTTGGGTATGAGGGTCAGAGAGAGGGAAAAAAAATAAGAAAACATGGTCAGTGGCTCCCACAAAACACACTAATGATGTATCACTAGGCAGCAGCACATTAAGGCTGCAAGTAAGCCATGGTTTCACTGCACTGAACCAAAATTTAGCAAGAGGCTCCTGTGCTAAAGGAGTTTTTATATGCAAAAGTGAGTCAAGGGATGAGAAGAAAAAGAAGAGAAGAAGCAACTTGTCCGCAATATCACACAAGATGATGGCAGTAGGTCGGGTGCAGGTGTGTCAGTGGTGRGAACACTTGTGTGCCTACACACTCTTCATCTTGTAGCAAACGTCTTAAGCTACTGACTGTTGTTTCTTGCCGCTGCAGCCTTTTTTTCTTTGTCTTCTACTTTATTAAAAACCATAATATGTACATACAATATAAATATATCCAACAGAATCAAAAAACACTGTTGTGAAAAAATTATCACTATTTAAAAAAATGTGTTTATGATGCAAAGCTTGATACRCTACATTTGTGTTATCTATCTTGTCTGTAGAACAGCTTTATCAATCAAATACCTTCATACATCCTTTGTCAGCCACACTCACTCGTGTCCTCTCTGAGTGAAAACCTTGACCTTCATCAGTCATGTAGGGTGACTGCCAGCAAATTAAATTATTCCTGCATCCTAGCAGGCATGGAGTGTCTAACCTAAGCTACACACTGCCTTCAGCAGCAATTCCACAATATCCCTGACTTCCCAAAAGTGCTTTGGTCATTGCTTTAGGGCCCAGAAGTTTTAAGAAATCAACTTTTTAATGTTATACTTTAAGGCGAAGTGCTGCTTTTCAGCAACATTTTTTCATCCCTAATTCCTTCTTCACACAAACAGTCTTTTGCTACCTGGCCATACAGATATAAGAGTACTGTGGCCAGCAAAGCCCTGGGGAAGGTGCTTGGGCCAGTATGGGAAAGAGGGATAAGTACAAGCACATGTACAGGAGTTCAGCACAGAGGGGTTTACACACTTCTCTGCAAAGCACCAGCTCGGTGGACATATGGAACAAGAAGAACAAAACAAGCAACAGGGTATGAGCTACAGCAGTCCTACCAGGACATAAAGAAGGTCAGAAGAAAATCTGGGACTGCCCTCTTGCCATACTCCTGCTGCCATTTAATACCAGCCAGGGACARCAGTGCCACAAGCAACAGCACATGCCTTGCAATAAACAGAGGGTAGCACGTCACATAATCTGCCAATACGTGTTCCTGTTACAAGGCAGCACTGTATTGGCAAAGGCAGCCAAACATCTCATGCTTTGGTGAACCTGACACACCAGCATCTGCCTGGGACAGAAATACCAATGGCAAAGGCAACCACCCACAGTCTGAAGGGTAAACCACTGTCAGTACTTCCTAGGTATCTACAGATCGCCTTTCATGTCAAGTATAATATCTCACATCTTGCTTGTCTAAGCCACTTCTGCAACATGACTTGGAAGAGTTATTATCAACCAAACTATGTAATCAAATTATTCTTAGATTTCAAGCACTGAAGTCACATGCTGACTATGCAAAGTTTGAAGAATAAYACACATACACAYATAYATATGATAMAAYTAATCCTGYKTCTGATACTAGAACCCAGCTGAAACAACATTGCAACTTAGCAGAAACACTTCTACAATGAAGGATTAAAAAGCCCCTAACCCCTACCAATTTATCTAATCCAAAGAGAAAACCAAAACAAAACTTAGAGGCTTACAGGACGCATTACACACCTTGATTTTGAAAGCTCTTTTAAATCCACTGGCAAAGAATCCTCCAAATGGCCCAATTAATGAGGCAAATGTTGACAGTGCAAAGCTGTGCATCTGAAATGGGTACATATTCACCGTTTCCTACAAGAAAAATAATCAGCATTGTGTTTCAGTGTTTGATTGTAGGTATTTTCAGCTTACATATTTTAAAGAGAGTACATCACATGGAACTGTTGCTGGTAGTCCTTTTTCACTCAGCACCCAAGTAAAGGCATTAACACACAGGATACTATGTGGTAAAGAGAATAAAAGTCCTATCCTAATAGCAGTTATACACTGCCTGAAAACAGAATGCAAGCTTACTTCAGCTTGCCCCTAATTTGGGTCATGACAAGCCTTTGTCCACTTTCCACAAAAAAATTMAAAGGTTGCTCTTCAAAAAYAGGTCTACAAAATGTTTAAGTGGYTTCCATATGCAGCACAAAGAGAATWCARGCAGRTTCCCTYGGSTGACTTCAGGATTTCCATTCTGTTTGGACTATCCCCCCCACACGGGCAATGGAGAGGCTCATGGCATCAATTCAGTTCTTACCCCTCAAGCCTTACCAGCATTCACATTCTAAAATGGTTTAGAAACCCATTTAAGCTGGGAAGCATGTTTCAATTTTATCCAAAGCCTGGGTTTTATTCCTTACCCATCCCAACACAGCCTGAAGCAATGGTGGCACAGAGTACTTCTTCATTTGAAAGAGCTCTGAAGGTTCACACTCTGTCACAAATCTGTTGGTTTCACTGTTGTATTCCACAGGGCAGACAAAGTACTGATATTGAGCCAAAAAATAGGAAAACTGAAAAGCAAAACAAGAACTCCTGAGTTAGGCATTTCTTGTTGCATGCAAAAAACATGCTTTCAAAAATGGCTTTATCATCACAAGCTAAAGGTAATAAAAATCTAATAAGAGACACAGAACGGAGAAGAAATCAGCCTGTTTAAACCAGAGAATGCCTCTACAAGGCAGACTGAGCTTAGTGTTGATTTCCCAAATTGTTCTATTTTTCCTGTCTCTCAGGTTTATATCTACTAGACATTTCAGCATTATAAAAATGGATGACCCCAAAGTCATCCACTCATAATTTTTTGCAGTTCATTTGTCCATTAAAACTTGAATATCTCTTCTGTTAAGTTTAGCTATTATGAGTTCTGCTGAACTTAGTGATAAATTACTTACCAAACAGTTACTTATGCTCTTATTATCATCAGTGTAAACCACTTTCCAGAAAAAAATGTCATTATAAAACACATAACACAAAAGTGCTACTTCACAAAGCATAAATAATGCTACTGATAAACTTCAATTTCAAAATAAGGATGCAATTAATAGATAAAACTATTCCAGATACAGTAATAGTAGTTGCAAAAAGTGGTCAATATAATCTCTTCAGGAGAGGTGAAAACCTTGTCCACCCATTCCAGATCTTTCTACAATGAAGGATTAAAAAGCCCCTAACCCCTACCAATTTATCTAATCCAAGAGAAAACCAGAACAAATCTTAGAGGCCATACTTAGGGCTTAGCAGAATTCCTAAGCTAAAAAACCTCTAACTCTTAGACTTTCAGCAGTTTGAGATAACCAGATTTATCAGGAATTTTATTTCAAGTGAAAATAYGAAGACTGAATCTATACAAGGAAATTCCCATCCCTGGAAGTGTTCAAGGCCAGGTTGGATGGGGTTCTGAGCAACATGAGTTAGTGGAARGGGRGTTGGAATGAGATGATCTTTAAGGCCCCTTCCAAACACAACCTCTCTATGGTTCTATGAAGGTCCTGTGGCTACTTACAATAAATCCAAATACAACAGTGGAAAAGAAGCCTCCGATGAAGCCTTCCCAGGTCTTCTTGGGAGACAGCTAGGCACAAAAGAGAAAGCGTTAGTCCATCAGTTGCATCACTGCACCCTTTTAAACTCCATTTCTTGATCTTGTTTGTAAAATTAAGCTCCTACTTGGTTTTTCAAGGGTATGTGTGAAGTAGTGAATGTCAGCAGCTGCAGCCACTGAACATTATAAATAGAGGAGCGTGGCCATGACCTGTCCCAGGCAAGGTGGGAAAGAGCCACGCTTTGGTTGGTGCCACTGGGCAGCTTGAGGGAGAGGAGAGCTCCTGTCCCATCTGTTGCTGCAGTCTGGAGGCTGCCCCCGGCCTCTGGCCGCATCTGACCCAGATTAAGCAGCTGAGCTCRTCTCAAGCAGAAGACTGGGAAACTTGCACAAGCACAATCTTGCTTTGTTGGATAGCTCTGCAAGCAAGTGCCCATACAGATGGGGCCAGAAACCTGGGTGTGACATGAGTGCTGCTGGGGATGCTCCTGAGACACCAGCTTCCTGCAGCCAGACTGGATAAACTAAYACAGAAAATAACTAGAGAGAACAGTGTGCCAAACTGGTTTTTTTTTCACCAAATTGTATCACATTTTCAATTTAGGAGCAGTTTAATATCAGAACCAACTAAATGCCCAAAAGTTAACATGACAATATCATTAAAATAATAATTCACGGCTTTCTGTAGGGTCTTGCATGTTCTACCAGAATAGGAAGATTGATCCCTTCTCAGTGCTACAYAAATGAGACCAAATAAAGAGTAGGTATATATTACCCAGTGGCTTATTTCAAATTACAATTTCTGTGCAGTAAGCATGCAGCTAAACCTGCATCTGAAATCCAAAAAGAATGCARTTATAAATGATGATGCAATAGGTTCAAATGGTATTATCCTGAAATGCCAATATCACATTCATATTAATCCCAGTTTSCCATATACAAATTTTCAGTAACAGGACGGTCAATGTGGGCTTTTTTGGCAAAGATGTGAATCATGCAGTACAGCATATTTTTTCCATTAACATGTTTTTGAACAAGTAACAAAATTGCTATAAATTGTAAAAGCTTGTTAGTGAGGAAGTGCCTAAGCACCTACCTTAATTAATGGAGTTCTGCCAAAGAAGAATCCAAAAATATAAGCGGTAATGTCATTGCAGATAACACTTGAAATTGGAACCAAAAACCTAGAGAAAGACATTAAAAGTTTCACAGAGGAAAAAAAAAACTGCCTGAACCTAAACACAGGACAGAAATTGAAAGAGCACCATTTCTTTTTGGGAAATTTTTCTGCAGTATTTAGGAGGAATTATGTTTCATAATGTGATCACCTCATTCCCCCTTGAACAYCACATTGAGCTATACCAGTTTTAGTCTTCAGCCCAACAAGATCCTTACAGATTCATRTTAGTTCAAGTTAAAGAGTTATTTTGGTGCATGAGCTTAAAACATGAACAGGCTGGCTTTTTCCTATCAAGCTTAAAGACAGGTACCACAGGTAAGAAGAAATCAACAGATATAAACATGTTAATAGTTTTGGAAGCATTAAACAGGCAAACTCATTGAAAAGTTTAAATGATAATTAAATTAAAAAAAAACCCTAGTTTTCCTTCCCCCCTTGTCAGTTTGGAGCAGCTTTTTAAGTGTTYTTTGCATGCAGACACATCTGAAGTTGTTATTCAAGCCTGTTAAGCTTTTCCCCCCATTTTCAAAGCAGAGATGTATTAATAAGCTAAAAGTCGGATTTTGTGACCATCTGCCAAATTGTCTAGCAAAGAGTGACAGCAAGGCAACTAGATTCAGGTTTTGCCATATGAATATGAACACTGTGAAAAGAATTTGTATGTAGAAACTTTGTCAAAGGCTTTGGGCTTTCTTTCTAACTAAGGATGMCTTGTCTGCAATATCTCCCCAGACRGACATATATCAGAAAGAGGAGGACATAGAGCAATATATCCTTGGAAGAACACAAACGATTTTCCATGTGCTTCTTCCTTGTTTCTCAACTTGAAATTTACCCTGTCCCTGAAGAAGWGAGGGGTAGGAAAACACACCCGCTCTCTGAGGAGCGGCTTTACATAATCAAGTTTAACTGCATTGCCAAATTTTAATGTATCACTGGAAACGGGGCACAAAGATTGCTCAAAAATAAACAAGATTAAAACTCTTAAAATATTTTAAGCACTCTGAATTTATTTGAACAGGGAAGGCTGCAGGGAATGTGGCCACATTGGGGATTTTGAATTAAGTGGTCCAACTTCAATAGCTCTGAGCAACCTGAAGCTCCGAAGTAATTGCAAAAGATTTGCTGGATATTCATCCTTTCAGCAAATTGCTCTGGAAACTATTTGACCCAGCATGCAATCAATCCTATTCCTTGCAAGTAAATGAAGTGGTTGTTTGAAACTATCATGCTTGTGTCTGTCAATCTAGTTAAAGAGGTTTCTGCTTCCTCTCCTGCATGYTTTACCTCATCACTCCCAATTCCTCCAAATACCCTTCCAACTAAACATTAATGCTCCTTTAATTTGTACTGCTTTAATTGTTCCCCAAATTATTCCCTAACCAGATCTATACAAAAGAACCAACCTTTCAATTCAATAGAGGTACAAATCAGTTTGTTACTGTCCCCTTACCAGATCATGCCTTCAAAGAGATTTTGGATGACAAGATGAGATTGAGTTACAGTGATCAGCAAAGTGACATGAGTCCATGCGAACTGTTAACAATGCAACAACACAACAGTTAGTGAAAACACCGACCCGTACAACTCCATAAATCCTGGTGTGTCAGCTACAGGAGCTACTGAGGAGCTCCCCRGGAAGACCAGTTCTAGTGATAATGCAAGAGATGTGTGCATACAGTATATCACAAGTGAGCTGGCTTTCTGAAGCAAGTTCTGAAACTTCAGCAGGTTTCTCCATCACTTACCTCCAACCAGAATTTTTTTTAACATGAGGTTTAACTCCTGATTTAATAAGACATACACCTCCAGCATGAAAGCAGCAAAGATATTTAAGCAATGTGATATTCTGTATATACATATAACAGACATGTTAGAACTGTAACAGTAAAATGGCAATGGACTACTCATGAAAGAGTCATGTTACACAGATGTGGATCTCTCTCATAACAGAATACTCTCATGAAACGGGAAAATTCTCAGGATTAGTGAAAATAAAGTGTTTGATTTTAAGGGCAAGGCCATTTAAACAGTCATTTAGTTCAGTACTACTGTACGTACTTGGTGTTTAATCTGTAGCGCCCACATACAATAAAGTGGTTTCCAAATAGATTACCAGTAGAGATTCTGCAATAGATTTTATTTTCCAAACACTTAAATCAAGAACTGGTAGTTTTCTCATGATACACCCAATTTAAGCACTCTAAATGTCTGGGCCATGTAACACTCAAAATGTCCTCCTTCTTTAATTCTCTCATCACAYGTGTTTTCCTATGGCAGCCAGACTCTACTTCCAGATAAAACAACTTGAGAAGGCTGAAAAGGGTAGTAAGGAAATGACTAAAGGTTTCTGAAAAGACTACCTGCTGGTTAATTAAAGCAGCTCTGCAGCAAAATTTTTGTTATTTGTAGTGACATCGCAACACCACCTAAAAYTAAATGGYCATACTATTAGAATCAYGGAACAGTTTGGTTGGAATGGACCTTAAAGATTGCATAGTTCCAASCCCCTCACCATAGGCAGGGACCAAATTGCTCAGGGCCCCATCCAGCCTGGCCTTGGACACTTCCAGGGAAGGGATAGACTCTCCTTTACTTCCTAAAAACTGTGTTGCCACACAATGGATATATGGCTTCCTTCTGTTTTACTGCTTTTCTTGGGTAGCCACACTTTAATCTTTTCAGGGCAGACACCAAGTCATGTGACTGACACCCAAATTCTCATCTTCTTTCCAGAAGAGGAAAAAGGAAAAAAAAACAAAACAAAACAAAACAAAACATGGACAATTAAGATATTTACAATGTGCAAATCTGAAAATGAAATTTTTTTGCAGATTAGAAGACTATCGCTCCTAGAAAAGATGCATCTCACTGTCAGGTAAATTCTCCTACAAACAGYGTACATTATTTTGAGTAAAAGATTGTTTTACATGCTTATAACAAGGCTCAGTTAAATCCTAGTCTAGAATTGGGGATCCTCAATGGTAAAGTGCTACCTAAAGCAGTGCAATAACAAAGGGGTTAATGGCATTCCCGGAGCTTTAGGAAATCTTTAGGGTTGTGCAATGCCCTGATTGCTCAAGTTCTTTCAAGACAGAGCTGTACCGAATTAGTGTTTCACTGTGACTTCTAATCATTCCTGTAGAGAAGTGGGAGGTGGGGCGCTGCCAGTGGGATGGTTTGGGTTTCCTTTGGGTGTTTTGTTTGCTTTGGTTTTAACCTGTAATATTACAAAATTAGTTCTCAACATATAAGATACACATAAGAAAAAGGGTTCATGCTGTTGCTTAGTTACTACGCTGATTATTAGGTGGACAAATGCGAGAGGTGAGAATGCTGTTTCTTTTAATATATCAATGATCTATTGAGACACTGCAGAGGGGAAGACCAGAACAGCTGTGAAGTGTCACAGAATAAATATTCCACATCGGGGTTAAGATCAAGTTCCCTTTATGGTACTTCAGCGGGGCCTCTAGAAAGCAACACTTGAGTCACAAGAACCACTTTCCACACAAATACTGAACTGTTCGGCTTCAGACCTGGCAGGGATATGCATGCCCCTTCTCCAGCAATCTCCTTCATATCAGCCTGTCACTAAGGGAAACATATCATGTKGGACATGCACAAGGCCTCACCAAGGACACCCTGTACTGACTGAAAGGCCACATCCTGGGATACAATAATAATAATAATAATCTGCAAGGTGAACAGACKCAGTCTAACACCAGCTGATTCCATGTTACCTTCAATTCAAGAACATTTTCCACATCCCTCTTTCAAACTATTTTATGAGCATAAGGACATGACTGACCACAGCAAAGTGGGTAATACACACCATGTAAAACTGCAGACGATAATGTTTCTTCACTAAACTCAAAACAAACATGCAGAATCCTGTAAAACAAAAGAACAAAAGTTTGTACCATCTTATATTCAATGACACTGAATTGTGATACACCAGTAATTCTCTTCCTTTCAAGCAGTTTTAATCCCTCTGCAGCTAGAAGTGCTTGCTTATATTCAGGGAAGAGTATGTATAGAATTATTCTCATACAATATTATGATTTAGTTAACAGAGGTTTTGCTAACATCAGTAAAGAATATCCATCTTAGCACATACAARGTCCCATTGGGGACATCTATTTTTAGCAATCACACATTTAGAGATCATCACATTTAGAAAGTACTCAAAAAACAGGTCAACAAACTGGTTTTGAGCAATTAACAGAAATAAATGAAAGGAAAAGACCAGCTTGCCCCTTTCCCCCAGAAAAGCATATGGCTGCATGCAATGCAAGTGTAAAGCAAAGGTGCTGGAGAATTGAGCTGACCAAAAGAACTTTCTAGGTGATTCTGTCCCAGGGCAACTTCCTGAGATGGTGGAGCCTCAAAAGACCCTGAATCCTGGGCACAGCCCCTCAGTGACCACCCCACAAKCCCAATGCCAAGGGGCTCTGCTACGTTCTGCCTCCTCCTTTTGGGGCTCATGCCTGGCTTTTCTTGTCTCTCCCCTCACCGGGTCGCAAGGCATTATTTGTCAGTTTCCTCAAGACAAAGCCACTGAAAAAGTTTAAATTCTGTAAAGCTGTTTTCAAGTTTGTGATCCAAGCACTGAGCAGAATTTTAATTTGTTTAAAAAAATTAAACCATAGACAAACTGACAGTTCATCGCAAAGACCAGGTTTCTCAGTACACTTTACAAATATTTGTAGCATAGCAGTCCCCTATCCTGTAAGCCAACCTGAGTCTTCACCTGCTTTAATTTTATGCTAAACTGCATTGCTTAAAAAACACATTTACATGTTCAAAAAGCAATACCTCATAAGAGTATCAGCTTATGTCTCTTCTCTCTAGAGAAGAGACTTTTGAAAAAGCTTTTCTTTGGACATGGGTATCTATCCATGAAGCAAGTATCTGAATATCCTACAGACAAAATTAAGACTCAGACACTTTGACTAATCAGTTTAAAAATATATTAGTAAATCCTATTACTGTAGACCTAGGAGAACACTTGCCCAATAAAGCATCAACCCAGYACAGCAATTACACACAGAAGTCATCACTACAGACTGCCAAAATAGCACYAGGTCTCCATCAATCAAAATTAATGCCTGCCAACCTCTTTTGCAAACTATTATCTCAACTGTCTCAAGATCATCTCCYTGTTTAGGCTGCTTTCTTCTTCTCAATGAATGCAAAATTTGTAYTCATCTTTTCACAGGAAAAATGGAACTACAAACACTTCATTTCCTTAAGCATTAAGAGGAAAAAGAAACTGAAGGTACAAAAAGATGGGAAGCAATAATATATGTTTTAAAATTAATAAGCAAATGCAGCACAAAGTTCTTTCATTTTTGTGATTTCCTGCACTTACCTGTTAAATAGAGTGCAAAAGATATAAACCTGTGGTAACGGATGAGGAATTGAAGCTGTTCTCTTCTTTGCACAAATGTAGCAAAGTAATCAGCTACAGTCTCTCCATAAAAGAAGTAGTTCACACACAGCAAGAAGTACCTACAATATGCAACAGCTAACAGTTATTTTAATGAGATAATGTGTATTATATGCAATTCTTAAAACAAAACAAACAAGGATTTATTTGTAACAAGGAAAAAAACCTAAATAATAAAAGGCCAACTGACTTGTCCAAGTTCACAGGTACTACGCAACTAGAGAATTCTTTATTACAGACAGATGTCAAGTTTTATGTCTGCACATGACCACAAAGCTCTTATTCCACCAAAACAGGATAGAAGGAAGATGATTTAAGTTTCACATCCCATCTTATTGATGTTCTGACTTGCTACTCACCAGCTGAGGGATCTAAACCAYGGTAAATCATATGAGTGGTAGACTCTGTAACCAATAGTAATGATTTCATGGTAACACTTTACTTGGATGCTTAAGACCTAAAATAAGAGAAATAAAAAACTTCATAAATATGCTGCAGTTGTTTCTTACAGGCAGCAAGGAGCACTGCAGTCTGCAATAAAGGGAGATGTTATTCTGAATTCAAATTCCACTCAGAAAACAGCTTCAAAGTAAATCCAAGGAAAACCAAAGTTCCATTTAAAACTTAAAAAAAAATCTCCAAACCACTGTACATGAAGAAAAAAAAACTCCACACTGGGCTAGTTTCAAGAACACACTCATGAAACTAGAGAAGGTTCCTGACCTTTCTGCATTAAAACAGTTTGACAGCGCAAATCAGAAGTGCTTCCTGTAATTTTGGCTAAGTTTCATCTTCACATTTAAAATATTTTCCAGACCCAACGGAAAAAACTAGCTGTACAACACAACTTGGACACCCAGGTCTTTCACTTGCAAGCATCTCATTAAGGGTAATTGTCATTTGTGATTAGAGGCAAAGCTTGTCTAMCCCAGGTCTGAATGTCACACCCTCCAAGGTCTTCATTTTGTTTTGCTGACCTCACTGCTTCCCTGTGTTGCCGGCACGAGTCTGGCAGTATGTCCTGTCATGCCTTTGGGCTTCAAATGACTCTGCCAATTCTGTCCAATCTGCAGTCTCCAAGCAGATCACCTTACCCAGACACATGGAATTGCCAAACCCAGGCCATGGGTAATCCTGWACAGGGGCCGGAGCAAGAACCTGCCCACACTGCTGGCACACATCACAGGCAAGGCTTTGCAGCATCCTCTCACCACCTGCATTCACCAATACAYTTCATCTTGCTCAACGTGTGAGCACAGATTAAACAGTCTTACACCACCTCAACGAGTTAATTTTGAAGCTCCCCTATCTGATGATCTTTCTTCTGCTTGGCATACCTTTAAAAACTGAAATGCTATAGGCACCAGCAACATTACAGKGTTGCACTTTACACTGGAAAAGGGCATGGGGGTCCAAGCCACAGAAGCCTGTTACCAGAGTAGCCAGCAAATGCAGAACACACATCCCAGCTCTGAAGAGTGCTCTCAGGTCTTGTCCTCACTGGATTACTCTCTCAACAAGTCTCTGGGCATATTCAGTCCCAGTATTGAAATTCGTTTTTATCATGACAACCCTTATTTGAATACAAACTATTTTATTCCAGCAAAATTAAATAATTAATGAACAAGACTGRGTTTTCCCTCCATTCTCCTTTTTACGTAGTCTCAAATATCAACGTCATTAACAGCTCATTATATTACAAGACAGGCTTTTTGCTTAACAGCACAAAAGAAGAAYGCTATTACAATTCTCTACTAACTTCAATTACTTTTTGGTTCATGCCTTAACAACTTYGCCCATGATTGCAATCTCACAATATGCATGAATATACAAAATCATCCCACAAATTAATTAGCTCCTTTTTGTTCATAATAATCATTCTCAAATGTAACAGACTACTAAAGGAAGGATTGTAGAAAAAAAAAACAAAAAAAAACCCAGAAAACTCTTTACAGCGAGCTACACTTTAAAAGGGCTTTTTTGTTTTTTTTTCTTCACAACACCAAAAAGAAAATCCTCCATGAATGATACAATGAATTAGCAGTTTGTTATGTAATTCATCTGAAAACAGGAAATATACACCAGACTAATTCAGCTGTAGAAATTGTAATGCAAACCACAATGCTGGCAAAACAGCATTCCACTCTCTCAAGACACTAGCTTCTATGACCTTTGGAAGAAGGGGCAGCTGASTCAGAATGACTACAAGGATGTTGKGAGGTTATGCTGGAAGAAAAGTWGAAAGGCCAAAGCCCAACGAGATCTTAATCCAGCTAGTGCCATAAAAGACAATAAAAACCACCTCTATAAATACAGCAGAAGCAAAAGAAGGGCTAAGGAGAAGCCATCCATCCTTTGTTGGCTGCAGGGGGAAACAYAGTGACAAAGAATRAGGAAAAGGCTGAGGTACTTAATGCTTTCTTTGCCTCAGCCTCCAATRGTAAGACCAGTTGTTTTCTGGGTACCCAGTTCCCTGAACTGGAGACAGGGACAGGGGTTGGTCCCTTCTCCTAAGTAACGAGTGAAAGAAAATTGCCTCCATTTAGATGGGAAGGGAGGTTTAGGTTGGATATTAAGGAAATTTCTTTACCCAAAGGGCTGTCAAGCATTGCAAGATGCTGTCGAGGGCAGTRGTTGGGTCACCCTCCCTGKAGGTATTTAAAGGRTGTGCAGATGTGGGACTTGGGGACATGGTTTAGTGGCAGATTGGCAATGCTGGATTAACAGTTCACCTCAATAATTTTAAAGGTATTTCCCAACCTAAATGTTACTAGGAATACAATCCAAAAATTGCCTCACAGGAGGCCAAGAAAAATGTAAATGCACATTCTGACAGTTAAACAAGCTTAGTCAAAAATTGAGGCAGTTACCTAGAAGGACCAATTTCAGTGCATTAAAAACTACATTCCTGGCTGTTCCTTGCCATGACTGGGAAAGATAGCTAAACCATTATTCAACAAAAATACCAGCCATTAAAATGATGCAAAGAAGCAGTAAAGGCTGACCTGCTATGTAGCATGTATGAAGAATATTGTAACTACTATTATTGTTATTGTTATAATCATCAGTATTTCACTTCATGACCCAAAAACACACTTTGTACTTTGGGAAGGCATCTACTCCAACCTACAGATAAATCTAATGCCACAGTGAAGCTCCATAGAGAAATATGGAATTAAAGGAGCATTCCTGAGGAAAGCTTTTCAGTGCCAGTTGCAGACAGGAGACCAGGGCTGCCTGCCTTCTTTAGCCTCAAAATTGCACCTGTCTCTTAATTTTTTTTAATTTAGATTTTTGCTGTTGTTGGTGGGTCTGGGGTTTTTCTTGGGTTGGTTTTGGTTTGATTTTTGTTTGTCTGTTTTTTAAAACAAACCTCAACATGCAACSGTAGGTAATACAGACTAGTCAATGAAATGGATGGTAGTAGTTTAGTAAGGCAACAGGAATTCAACTTCTTGGAGTTAATTTAATTCCTTCTTAAAAAAAATTATAGTGTATAGGAAGTCCTTAACCTACAGGGTCCAGCTGTGAATCTGTCAAGTGTTTTTCAAAACTATTTACATTTACAGAAAGAAAAGACAAATTCCTCTGAATTTTCCCATGCAGTTTCCTTTSAGCTGTCTTAGCTATGATGAATGAAGAGATACAGTAACTCTTGCACAGAAGAATGCATTTAAACAAACTTACCAGAAGCATCAGCATAAAGGAACCCAGATATATGATCAGAAAAAACCCAGAAATCATAGCTAGGGTGAGAATTCCACGGATCCACCAATTTTTCCATCTATTAAAAAAAAAAAMCAAAAAACCAAGCAGTTATAAATGAAAATAAATTCCACTTCCTCTGCTAATTAGAGATTAAACTTTTTTAGAAACAGTGGGAGTAGCAGAAGTTTTTGTGTTTAATCAAACTCATAGCAAGAAAGAATCAAGCAACTATCCAACTGAACAGGATGTACATTAAAAGAAGTTAAAGTTAGGCACCTTTCTTCTTCCCCCGTGCTACCTCAACCCTGCCAAATGTAATTTGCAATGAATTGGTATAACCCCATATTGAAGCTACTGTGAAAATACATCAGGACCCTCAAAAAGCATCACATAAGCTGCAAGACTGATGGGGGCCCAGCCAGATAAAGGCTTGCACATGAAAGAARGGCTGCCAGGTAAAAAGCAAATGATTCTTTGAGGAGTAACAGACAATAAAACCTCTGAACAACTGATCACCAGTTTTCTACAGCAGCAAAGTAGCTCTTTTGCCAGGTAGAGGGTTATCTATTGAAAGCAGTCCTGTGCTCTYGTGAGCACGAGAACCAGGACAGAATATGTGACAATGAGGGACAATGGGTCAAACAAGCTGTACTCTTTTGTCCTTGTAGGCCTTGCAGCTCTTAATGGCTACCTAAGGAAAATGGAATAAAAATTTCTGTTACCACAGAATCATAAAATCATTGCAGTTGGAAAAAACATCTAAGATCATCGAGTCCAGCCGTTAGCCTAGTACTGCCAAGCCCACCACTAAATAATATCTCTGACTGCCACATCTACATGTCTTTTAAATACCTCCAGGGACAGTGATTGCATCAGCTCCCTGGGTAGCTTGTTCCAAAGCTTGACCTTTTTCCTAAATTAAACCTCTCCAAAGGTTTAATTCCAAACCTTTTTCCCAAATTAAATTTTCGTAACATCCAACCTAAACGTCCTTTGGCACAATTTGAGGCCATTTCCTCTAAATGCRCACTGAAGCAACTGATCACAAGTTACTGCTAAACACAAAGCCCTCTACTGCAGCCTGAAGRCATTCTTTCCAGTGTTTTGCTTTGTTATTTTGTGTTTCATTACTGCATCAGGAGATACACCCAATTCAGGGGACAGTGAAACACACTAGTTTTAATGCAAACTTCAACTACATAATTTGATTTTGAAGGACGTGACTCATTAACAGGTTAATGGCAGCTACAGTCAATAAATGGTTTTGCCTTAAGTATGAGAACAGAGGCAGAAGAGGCTTTATCACAACATGTTTTATGTTCCTCTATGATGTGGGATGGGCAATAGCAGCTTGGCCCTAGTGGCATATCCATAGTGAGCAAACCTCCTTGGGAAGATTTCATTAAGAGTAATGTTAAAACACCACATGATATCTTGTGAGTGCTGGCAAGCACAGTGCTGGACAGACAGCTTCACCAAGACAAGAAGGCCCACAATTTAGGAAGCCAACTGACAATTTACTGTATCCTGCCTCTCTGCTGAAAGTTACAGATAGCATTTCTTTTAAAGGTCAGATACAAAGAGAAACCATATTTCTGAGAGACACAGTGTAACTCACCCACATTGCACATGATGACAGCAGCTCTGCTGGGCTGCTGGCTACTGAACTACAGCTAATTTCAACTCATAAAGCACAGAGAATTTAATTTTTCACTCAAAGTGCCTTTACACACCTTTGTGCAAACACTCCAATAAAGAATTTCAAGCACATGAAACAGGAAAGGTTTCACCTGCACACCTTAGTTGCAGGCATTAAGGTAAGACCATGCCCTTTGCAACAAGTCTGATTTGGAGACCTAAGACTTACGCATTTAACCAAGAGAACTATGAAACTAGACATTCATTGCAGTGTGATGGCAGTAGAGAATMTAATATTCTGCTCACAGCTGGGGCAGTTTAGAAACAGACCTTTTAAAACCTGAAACATTACATTTGCTTATGGCTCATGGACGTAACAGAAACAGAAAACGGATTAGAAAACGAGCAAGGCAAAAAACTAATTTCAAACTGCTATTGGAGATACCTGCTGGAGGAGACCAGTTTTTTGACAAAAAAGGTTTTAATTATAGTCTGGCATAGCAATCCTTCTTTTGACTCTTGCAAGACCTAAGTTGCATCTAAAATATAAATTTTATATGCATACATTTATAGTTGCATCTAAAACACAACATTTGCAGGCCATCAAGCTCCTGTGARTCTGGAGGTAGAAAGCCACGTTTTAAAAGAAACAGCAAGAAAAAAACACATGGCTTTTAAAAGTATGGCCATATCAGCTATGATAYATTTAACTGCACAGAAAAATATTTAGAAGTGGAAATGTCACAAAAATCTAGCAAACCTCACCTTGAGAATTTTGACATCTTTTCATTTATAAACAATTACCAATCCCCTCTCAGTCTTGGATGGAGGAAATAAGTTTATTACTAACTTCCAGAAACAATCATTCTGATATTGAAATTCTTCAGTCCATGTTATTGCAATGCTCAGACTCAGTAAATGTTCATGTAAACTATGTTTACTTAGAAAAGCATGTAATGGGTAATTGAAAGGYATATGCAAAAAATATTACAATCAAAGTATAAATCAATCATATCCAGTAAAAATTAATCTTTTAATTTTCACGTCTATCATATGAAATTGAAAACTGCATTACAATTTGTAAGAAGTAAAACTGCAACACAGTCTGTAAGAATTTTAGCCACTGGCTGTTAAATTTGAGAGCTCTTTGTTTCACTCTACCTGGCAGACAAGCCTGACAAAGCCTTCTTGAGGATTTCTGGAGTGCTGTCTGTTGGTGGAGGAACATCAGGAATATCTGAATCATTTCTGAGGTCCAACTCACGAAGTCTTTCTTCCAAATCCACTTCCTATCCCAAAAAGAAAAATAAAACTATCAGAAAACTCAATACAACATGAAGGATTATTAGCTATTGTGTCAGAAAACAGTATTGAGAGTCAAATATTAGAAACTGATAATACCTGTATTACCTTCTGAAGGATAACAATGGTGTACTAGTGAAACKGTAGATGACGTAGGAGACAAATGAATGCCAGTTAATGTTTACAAGAAGGTCTGTACTCAGATGTTGTGACATTACCTGCTGTATTCAATAAATCTCACATTCTAGGCACCACTTTTTCAAGGATATATGTTTCCAGAAATACTACACCTGACACAGAACACAGGAGTGTGACAAATCTCCAATCCTCTAACACATTCCCTCACCTACATTTCAAAGTACCCTTCTATGGAATAAGGGGATGGTTTTATGTCACTTTGAGAGGAAGTAAAAAAGGAAATGTAATGCATGAAAAAACAGTATACAATGAGAAGAGTTTGCTGGCACAGTTTTATGCATGGTGGGGCTTGAACCCTCAGGTTTGAAAAGAACAATCCAAAACCAAGMTGTGAAGTGACCAAGTGTCCCACGGACACGGTATTACTCAAAATAGTTTTCTGTGTGACAACAACACTACAGTTATTTCTTCAATGTTCACTGAGGACTGCTAGGGAAGACATCATCTAGACAGTGTGCCTAACCCAAATGCAAAACAGGCAGTACATATTTTGGTGACAATATACAAATTGTCACCAATGCTCAGAGCAGACTGTCAGGATATTTTTCACTCAGTTCAAGCCAACTCTAAGGGTGACTTGTTCTAATGTTGCCAACAGCACAGCTCCAGGGAGCTGGGAAGCTGCACACAGCCCTGGCACAGCAGTAATGCAGAGAGCAATCTCCAGCTCAGTGTGGCTCTCTGGAGACCTGAACTTCCTCCTGACCTCCCTGACTCGCCTCACCTTCTTACAATCCCAGACAGCTTCCAGCCTGCCCTGCTGCCTCAAGTTCATCAGTTCTTAACAATTCTGGGGACTGTTAAGTAACTGYGCTTTAAAACTTTCTTCTCCACCACTAGATGCTATTTCTCCATCTCCCTCTCCTTCCAACTTCCTCATCTCAGATCCTTCTCCTTTATCTGTTTCCATTAATTACAAACTTCTGCTTTTCTTTCCTACTTTTCCTTAATAATATTATTTTCTCACCTTGTTCTGAGTACTTTTGTCACTTTTTCTAAGCCAGCAGAGGTATGTCCTTTCTCTTGCCCCCTCTACAAGACACCAGAGAATTTAGGTGCCTAAAACCCTGACCAAGCCCAGCATGGTTACTTTGTTTTGGCCATGGCCTTTTCCCTGCAGCTGCATTCCAGTGTRACTCTGTCCCAGTGCCTGGCCCCTGCAAACACTACGAGGCAGAAGATGAGTTTTTCCAGAGCTGGTYGCCCACAGCCGGGGTTGGGCAGAGRCAGCCATAGAGGGGCCAGGAGCTGACCAGGGTGCTGCAGGCAGGCTCCAACCYAGGACCCTTCCCAGGATCTCCAGGGACATTGATCTGAGGGAAAACAGCATCGTTTCTGCTTAGAAAGTGGTTTTAACCTTTTAGAACATGAGACAAAGAACTAGCACTCTACACATGCACAAGGGAAGTGGATACATCCTCTCTTTTTCAATGTTAGGCCTGGATTTCTCTCATTCTTTTGATGTACTACACACATGCCCAAGATTAAATTCTCAGTTTTACACCCTTTACTTCTTTAAAAAAAAATGGTTAGTCCTTCCCCAGTCCTTCAAACCCTACAGTCGAATAATTGTTAGGCAGACTCTACCTATAATTAATACAAGTAAAAAGAGCAGGTAAGCTGTGCTCCAGACTTCAGGAAGCACACCTGAAAAAGCACATGAAGAAAAAAAAAATTACCACACTCGCAACCATGTCATTCAGAGATGCTGCTCACACTATTGTACCACAGTCTAGTAAATCAACGACAGATACAACTGGGGGGATCACAGCTCTCTCCCAAGGCCATGTTCCAACTCCTGTGACCTGCTCTGGAGTGCAGCAAGCTGTCTGTACAGTCCTGGGAGACATTACTCACTGTGCAGATGACGGGCAGTAATCCTGGCCCTAAGACCATGACTTAGCGTCTTTAATATTAATCCCTGCTTGCAGACGGCAGAGATGTTCTCTCTTTTAAGCACTCAGAACTAAGAATATCCCCAAACTTTTAAATTCCATTTTGGAAACATTTCCATACTGGCATTTAAATAATTTAAAAAAAAAAAAAGTTAGTTTTGTCGTCTGATATTTAACATACTATTTTCACTCATTATAAGCAATATTTTAAATTTGCTACTYCTAACCTTTGAATGCACAAGTGGATGGCTTTTTTGAGAGTATCTCAACACCCTGAAGAAGGAGCCTGTGTTTATGTAATGTGATTTTCAGTAGCTCACGGGAGCTTGGCTGGTGCAACCTGCATAAAACTTAGTGCATTTTTTCCGCCTGACATTGCTACAATAACCAGTGGGAATCAACACCTCAACTGTCTTCAGCTTCCCTTGTAACATACCTCAAAAATTACCATGCATACTTTATTTTCCAGTTAACTGCWATCACAGCCACAACAATTTCCTGAGTAAGGCATTTAATTTGTAAAGTCAGGAGCCAAAGAGGTAGTTGCTCACTAAAAGCTAGTTAATGGTCTTCTGCATCATTAAGTGCTTAGAACCCCATCACTGGGGGACAAGACTTTCTTGCTAATGATTTTCTAAATTATTTTATGTGATTGATTACAAACATTCCACTTCATAGCCACAAATAACAATAATAATGAAATGAAACACTAAGTTAATCACTATAAAAGCACTAAAAAAAATAAAAAATAAAAAAAATCAAGAGCCTTGCTACTGCAGCTTGACCTTGTAGAAACAGTTTTGGAGTTCAGAACAAACCCAAGCAGCCCTTCCTTCTCCTGCTCTTCAGATTTGAGATCTGTCCAAGTTTAGTACACAGTAAGATCAAGGACCTGTGAAGGTCCAYGAGTTTCATACTTTGTGCAGGTACTTACAAAATTTTTAAAGGTTAATTGAAAGCAGCACAGATTGTACTAAGCACCTAGGACACTTTCAACCCCAACTTCAAATTAAGTGTTTTATGCAAGGTGTTTTGATTTTTTTTCTTAGAGTTTTCAAACTGCAGGTGACAGAGCCTTTTACACASAGAAATTGTGCCACTCCTTCCTGCTTGATCCACATCTAAAGCGTCTGTAATGGGTAGATGGTTTAAGTTTGGTATTCTCAAAAGACAAGAGTTTCATCCTTATGCTAAATCTTCTGTACAGGACCACAAACAGTTGGCCATACAAAGGAGGAACCAACCACTCAAGAGCCTGAGCCTCCATRCCAGGAATTCAGAACATGTGACATCTTGCCATAAATTAGGGTTCCATGTGGATTTCTGCTTGCTGGCTGTTTCGTAACAGCTCACAAAATACAGCCGTGTGTCATGGAGAAAAAAACAGACATCTCCATCTTTCATCATCTAAAAGGCCACACGCTTCTGAATTGCTATTTTGCACCACACGCCCTCTACTACAATTAATACATGCCAAGCAAACCACGCACCGGAATTATTCTGGTTACAAAGGCACCTGCAATGTTCCTCTTATACTGCATTTTTCCAGGACACCATAAGGACCTCCTAAGTAGACAGAAAATATGCTCTTCTTTGAGAATGCAGCATCTCCATGAAGAGTAAATGAGAAAATGAAGACATTGTCCAACAACTCATGTGAAAAAGTGAGCAAAAGAACTTACTTATTGTCATTTTATAAATCTAAACATTATACTTACTCAAAGTGAGTTTCCCCTTCCATCTTTAATCTTTCTGCAGCCTCTCTCACAAGTTTCACCATGAAGTCAACAGTTCAGTTGGAACACACTGTGGAGTATTTAATTAGGTGTACCTTGATACCTTCCTCTGAAGCCAAGATATCAAAGTATCAGAAGATCCTGAATAATGAAACCTTTTTTTCCAAACTATTAAAGCCTGGCATATGCAGAAACACAGGTGAGAGACCTGCACATACTGAATCAAAGACTGAAACCTCCAGATCCTTCACTCTCTGCATTAGTACTAATTCACTATCATTTCCAATAAATCAGATTTGGAAATAGTCTGCCCTTATTATCATTATTATTACCATGCTCCTAGCWGAAAGCATAGAGATCAGACTTCTCTGTGAAAATTAAACTGATCCATTTTTGGGGTACTCCAAGAGAAGCAAGCCAAATGAAGTAACTAAGCAAACTGTGACAGACAGATCCACCATAGGCCATTCTGTAGTAAGGAATTCCATTCATCTCCCAGGAGGTTTGCGAGGTTTTGGACAACACAGATGCAAATGCAAAGTTGCCAATCTGAGCAACTTATCTGGCAACTGATGCCCTGGAAGGGTTGTCCCATGGAACAGAAACAGTTTTTGCAATACGACAAGAGRAACAGCTTTCAATGATTCCAAGCTTGCTGTAGTTAGAAATAATTAACAGCCAGCAATGCAATATGATCACATTTCCCCCTCCCTGTTCTACTCTGACAACTCTGTGCAGTACAAAAAGGAATAACTGCGTGATTACTTCCAGGATACGCTAAATTTTTTTAAAGCATTTGAAAGCATTGTCACTTGCTTTTGAGCGAAGAATGCAAACAATTGAAATTTTAGAAGAAGCCTGAACACATGCAGATCAGCCTGTAAATCTTTAACTGATTTATATGTATTAAGTATCTGAAAACCAAGTCATTCCTTTTGCTCCCAACGGTCACAGAGTATTTATGAAAGCACTTTGACCAGAAAGYCTTTGGAAAAGAGCACCCAGGGCAACCAGCAGGAAGTAAGAAAGAGACAACAAAAAAAAAATCACTCCTGCATGCCACAGGACAACACAAAGAAAAAAAAAAAAAAAAAATCACTCCTGCATGCCACAGGACAACACAAAGAAACAACAAACTTGTGAAATTGCAGAGTCCTACAGGACAAAGGCATGTTCACAGGAATTTTACAAAATGTCACCAGCTCAACAATGAGCAACTGGAGATACTTAGACTTGCAGAGCTTGGGAAACTTCACAAAGGGTATATCATATTCCTTCATACAAAACCAAGGAATTTAACTTTTCTTTGAAAGTATAGGGTTGTAGAAATAGCTGCCAGTTGTTTCCAATTACTGATAAAAAGGCATGCAAATGTGGAGAAAAACCCCCAACAGCTTCACTTAAATTCAGTAGGAAATGAGCATCCATGGACATAGTAAGTGACATGAAAAGTATCAGCACACTGAAAACAGGACTCAGGGGAGGATATAGAAAACCCTTCAGACATATTTAGTGTTTCTGCAGTTCTTCAACAAACACAGAGGGCTTCTCTACTTGGGAAAAAAGGGTGCTTTGAAGCATGTTGYCTTCATATGTCTGGAAGTCTTGAACGGGGCCAAAAAGAGCAGAAGCATGAAGCACGTACCATCCAAAGACACAAGTTTTCTCCTTCCACTGAGGAAGAGGGTGATGTTTCTAAGCTGCATACTAGAAAGCAGTGCAAACCCACTGCATCGTGGCCAACCTTAGTAGTTATGAACCCAAGAACCAGTTTTGAGTCCCAAACAGGATTACCACATCAAATAGGTCATCTCAAAATAGCCAGAGGACAATAAAAGTATCCACTTGTTGTGAGGGTCAGACAAGAGACAGAGCAGAAYGATAACCATCTAAGAAGCTGTATAATGTGGCACCTGTGAATCCAGATGACCAGATGCTGCTCATCAAATCACCTACAGCAGACATTACCTGTGTGCTCATATTCAAAACAGAGTCCCAAACTGTGACCCACTGATTGAAACCTCAGTACAAAAATACTGGTTTATCTCTGCAGTTACCAATGGCTCTAAAAGCAGCTTAATACATAAAATCAATCTTTGCTGTCACTTGTGAGCCATGACAAGGGTCAGACAGGTTGAACAACTGCAGTGGGAACACGGAGGGTCCCACAAATAATCCATGACAAAGTCTCTTGTGCAGTGGAAATGGCTCTCCTTATCTGTTGTTCAAGTGATCAACACAAATGCATGCACATTGAAATTCATCTCCTGTAACCAGCATCCTGGCTGCATACACAGCAGCAGCGTCCTGTCTGTCCAACATCAGCTGGAACAGGATGAAACACTAGGCTGTCAAGAAGCTAAAGTAAAACCACAGTAGGCCTATAGGTTAGAAGAGCATTTTCCTCCCTGAAAATCAYACAGGTAAGCCAGGAGTAACATTAGTAAATTATAGGGGCACCCTTTTGAGCTCTGGGGAGCAGAGGCTTTGAATGGCGAGAATTCTTTGAATGCAGCTCACTGCACACCTCAGAAATAAACTTACGCTGCAAAATAAAGCAAACCAGAGCATCTCCACAGAAAGATAGTTTTTGGAGCACACTGAGAAATTATATTTAAAAGTTAACTCCTATCTACAGACAAATACTCTCTGCACAGCAATAGTCTGAACACTACCTTCTGTGATCACAGCCCTCGATGCAGCACAGCACTACGAATTTGCAAGCTCATTGGCTTTGASTTAAAGCAACCAAAGCATGGAATAAAAAGTATTGAGTTTCACTTTCCAGTTCCTTGCCACAATGCCTAAGGCAGACTACACACTCTGCTGCACCAACATCCATGCAAGCTCAAGCAGTTACTGATTCAAGTAAAAACACACGTATTACTACTTCAATTTAGCAATCAGAAAGCTTTTTTTTAACTTTAATTCCAGTTACCCAAATGAGACCATCTCTTTCATTTTATTCAGACAACTAGCAACTGTGATGTGGTGATGTGCTTAGCTTTTGTAGAGATAAGCCTTAACTCCACTGCAAACAAAAGAACAGCACTGTGGCCTGTTTTGCCACTGTAATGAACCTGATGCATAGATTTAGTATTTCGAAAACCTCTTGCCTTAGCAGAAATGTCATACTGTAAGTCCGTTCCGGGCCAGAGGTGAATGCCTATCACTTAGCAGGCCATAAAACAGAAAGAGTTGTTGGGGAAATGCTGACATAGCCTTTAAACAGAGCAGATCACTGTTCTGAGTTAGTTTTTATGCTACTGGACTGGTCCAACCRCACTGAAGCGTGCTCTTTGCCAGGTCCAGTGTCCTGGTTTCGTCTGGGATGGAATTAATTTTCTTCCTAGTMGCTGGTACAGGGCTATGTTTTGGATTTAGCTGGAGAACAATGTTGATAACGCACAGATGTGTTGGCTTTGCTGAGCAGTGCTTAGCCCTCGTCAAGGACTTTTCTGTTTCCCATGCTCTGCCAGCRAGAAGGTGCACAAGAAGGCAGGAGGGAGTGTGGCCAGAACAATTGATCTGAACTGGCCAAAGGCTCTGCTGGGGGGTATTGGCTGAGAGGCCACCTGGGCAGGTGGTGAAGCAATTATATTGTGCACCACTTGCACTTCCTTGGGTTTTATAAGCTTTTTTGTCATCTCCCTTTTCATTAATATGACTTCTTCAATTATTAAACTGTTCTWATCTCAACCAACGGGTTTTACCTTTTTTTTCCCAACTCTCTTCTCCATCCCACCGGGCCGGGGGCAGTGAGGGCTGTGAGGGAGCGGCCGGGTGGCTCTCAGCAGCCGGCTGGGGTTACACCACCCCATCAGCTCCCTAGTCCAGAGGTGAGCTACGACACGCAGCTACAGCGCTGAGCTTTCTCTGCGGGCCCGGAGAGAACCCGGCCGCTCCCATTTCGGTCTCGCAAGGGGAATGGCAGGAAGGTAAAACACGCGTGGGCCCTTAACCCCTAACTTGGCACCTGGCCCTCTCCGCACTCCCTSCACCGAGAGCGCGGCCGCGTTACAGCCCGCCAGGGACCGGGAGTGTCCCCGATGCGGGGCCGGGGCGCAGCGCGGAGCCCCCCGCTCGGCGGGTCCGGGCCCGTGGAGGGAGAGAGGAAGGCAGCGCTGCCCCAAAAGCCGCCGCCGCCCCCGCGCGTCCTCACCTTGTCGCTACCCGCCTCCGCCGCCTCATCCTCTTCTTCCTCCTCCTCGTCCTGCTCGGCAGCCGCCCTCCGCCGCCGCCGCGCCGACATCGCGCCCACCCGGCGGGGAGCGGGCGCAGGCGGGGCCGCGATCGGGACGGGGAGGGCGCGGAGGCCGCGCCGCGGAGCCCGCCCGCCGCCTCTCCTTCCTCCTCCTCCTGCCGCTCGGAGCCCGGTGCTGTCCCCACCAGCGGGGAGGCGGCGCTCCAGCTGCGGAGGCCGCCCGGGCTCGGGGGCGCGGCCGGACCCGGCGCCCCGGGAGCGGAGAAGCGCCCGCGTCCCCGCGGCCGCGGCTGGGGCGGAGCGGGCGGGCGGTGTCGCCCAGGTGAGCCCGGCGCTCCGCCCCCGCCGCCGGCACCGCCCCCGGGAGGCGGGAAGAGACCGGCGGGGCCCGCGGAGCTCCCGGCCCTGTGCATCTCGTCCGCCCGAGGCCGGATGGCTGCGGCGGAGAGCACCGGCAAACCCCCGCAACACGGGCGTGGAGCTCCAGGTTGTTCTCTGCTGGCTGTTCCAGAATGGCCGCGGCACCCTGTGTGCCCTCAGCCCGCCGGTGGAATAGCCAGGGAGACTGGGACAGGCACATTCAGTCAGCCCCGGGATCAGCTCCGTGTCAGCGCCCGCGGGCGCCAGTGCTGCAGCCCGGGCGGGCATCGCTGGCTGTCTACAGAGTGCTTTTTGTCCTTCTGGGATGCTCAAGCCCGCCTGCTCTATGTCCTTTTATAAAGGCAAGTGCGGTGCTGGCCTTGTCCCTGCTCCACCGTACAACCTTCCGAGCGTGGTGCCACCACCCTCTACAGAAACGAAACACATCTGTGTAGGAAGTCGCAGTCGAGAAAAACGCCCCGCGAAGCCAGCCACACGTGCTGAATTCCTGCAGCGCCCTGTTACGGTGCTTGTGCCACTCCACCATGTTTGCATGGCTACTCTCAGCCTGGCCATGGCAACAGCTGGCTGCCCGAGAGCGTTCCCATAAAGACTCTCAGTCTGGATGTCACTTCAATGTCCACACACTGTCTCACTGCATCTGCCAACACAAGGCCAGCACCTCTTGCAAGGCAGTGTCTAACCACTCCTGCTGTCACTTACATTATCCATATGGTGAATGGTTTCACCAGGCTTTTATTTTGGTTTTTTTTTTTTTTTTTTTAGTTTTATTATGTAAACGATGTTGTTATTATGTCCCTCCAAAAGTATGCTTGGCATGTTTTTAATGTAAATGCCACGGTTCAAGAACTGATGCTGTGGATTATGACATCAGTAAAACAACTTCAGTCTTGCTGTCAGGAAGTGGGGACATTTCAGTATTCTGGAAGAACGCGCATTTCTGTGAAAGGTTTTACCTGTGCTCTGCTGACAGTGTCAGGAGGTAGCAAGTCTACAGCATCCCCAAAAAAACTGCAAAAACCTACTGTGCTAAAGAAGGGCTGCTCCAGCATAAGGCAGAGTAGAGACCCAGTGCCAGGCCAGACAAGCCACAGAAGCACAGTGTTTGACTTTGGGTCCTTTATGGACAAAGGTGACAGCAGCAGTGATCCCATGCAGTTCAGGGATATGACCATATGGCCAGGCCTCTCCAACACTTCACTCTTGCTAAGTATAATTTTAATGTATTTCTCCATAAGTGAAGTATTGTGGGGTAAAATTAGTTGAAAAAACTCAACTCTCCTTACTCAGAATATGAGAGGGTGGGAAACAGTTGCCCAGCAGGTGGGAAACCTAAACCATACAGGGTGAGCAGAGTGGACTCCAATGGATAATGAGACATCCTTTCCACTCTCTCCTCTTTCAGTGTGTTTCTCCTACTGAGTTTTCCCTTGTGCATGTCCCTCCGGCAAAGCTCTCAGCAGAAAGCAGTTTCCCTTACTTCATGTGCAAAATGTGCATTTATCCTGTTGGCGCTGCAAACGGGAGGAGCTCTCTGGGGGAAAGCATAAACATTTATTTTCTCTGTGCAGAGAGAATAAGAAGTGGTTTGCCTGGTCTCCACAGCTTTGCCACTCATGGCTGCTGCAGCATGTGGAGCAGACTGTTTCCAGGCTGTTTGCTCTGGCATGCAGGTCCCACACACGGGTCATTAGCCTGGATTGGGGTGGACATCAACAGCCCTATATTCACCAACAGCCCTACATCCACCACAAAGCAGCTGGGTCTAGCTGAAGAAGTACATGCCCTGTTGTAGCTGCTCCTGGTAAACCTGGCCTGAAAAAACATAGGGCTGAGAATGACTAGATTGCTTTTGCCATGAAAAAGAACCACCTGTGGTTGACAATACAAAGGCAATGCTTCAATACTTGCATGAAGGTCATTAAACATCCCATCTAGGAGAAGAGTAAGAACCTCCATTTCTCCAACATCCTTAACCTAAACAGTGAAGAGGAAAAGAATTTGTTTAGAACAGYTCAGAGGAATAAAAATATTTGTTTAGCAAATGGTGTGTTGGAAGAAAGTGGCAATAATATCAAAGAAGGAAAAGGTGCAGTACTCGATGATTATTAATGAGCAGAGGCAAGGCACCTTCAAGATGAGTCACTGCATTTTGGGAGTGATGAAGACAGCAAACAATGAACAACTGGTGACAGTGGGGTGAGGGGAGTGAACAATCTTCTGGGCAGGGCCACTGGGAGAGAGAAAATTAAAAACAAGGACCAGCCCCCAGCGGGATCAGGCAGGAATCCAGCCCCAGCTTCACTCCTCTCTCCCAGCCAGCTGTTCCTGCTGCTGTCATGCACCTTTTCACCCATGGAGTGCTCAGATATGTGAGGAGGGACAGCAAAAACAGCTGCATCACAGCAAAGCTTTTCAAGACTCTCCAGCTCAGAGGAAAATAGCAAGGGGCTCCCGGAAGAGCTGTGGCGCAGGGGGCTTAGGGATGAGGAAGGTCATGGGAATGTGGTTGTCCTGCTTCCCAGCCGCAGCACCTTGCAGCCATGGGAGCCCAGTACCTGGTTAGACTGGTCGGATGGGAATTTTCCAAGTCAACACCCTGTTAGTCAGGTTCCTTTGGGGCAAGTAACTACACTGGCTGGAATGTAACATCTCTTCTCCAAATGTTGTGACCGTGCACGGTTTCACAATGTGTGGCAAATGTGCTCCCAGGACAGAGGTGTTGGCACGCCAGCTGACGGCTCTCCTGATATGCAAATATTATCACCTCTCCTGGATGGATTTCAGTATCTTGATGTGTGACACCTCTGAGATTTCTGCTGCTCTGTCTTGCCTTGTATTCCCACATGAATTTAGTGGCTCAAAGCTGCCAGTAAACAACCCAAACCTCATCTACCTACCCAACATTGCCTGCAGCACAAGGAAGCCTCTAACAAGCAAAGCCCTGCACTGGCCGCAGGACACATCACCTGCCCCCTATGGCTTTGCTGCCCCCTGCCCTGCCCTCCTGTTATCCACAGCCGCCAGATCTGCCTCGCTGCAGCCGGCTGAGCCCGGAGCTGCCTCTGCTCTGTGCCTCGACCTGCGTACAAAAGGAGGAGTTTTGTGCAGGCAGACGCAAAACTGGAGCCCTGACATTAAAAGAGTTATATAAGCCCTTACACAAGCTGCATCCAGCCTCCCGACAGAAAGGCATCCGGCATGGAGCTGCTGCTGTCTCCACTGAGAAGAAAGATCTTTGCACAGGGGAGAGGCAGAGCAGAGCTGGAACAGCAGAAGGAATTGGAAGGAGCTGGTTCCCTATCCACTCAGAGACCGGAGAACAGAAAGTATCTGGCTCAAAATATGTGTTGGAAAGAAGGGCACGTCTGCAGTTGTAACACTGAGAATCCCCGTTGCTGGCAGTCTCGGAAATAGACGTGGTTTGCAGGGTTTGAGGTTTCTTTTTAGTGGGTTTCTAATAATGCACAGAAGTGAGACAAGTGGAAAATGTCAATACCTTCTGGTCAGTACAATAGCAATGTCAGGCCTTGTCAGCAACTGTTCATATCCCCTTAAATAATATCAATTATGAMCAACATTGTAATGTGCTCCATTTAATAAACTTTTAGCATCCCTAAATCATTTTAAAGAGGATAACATCAAGTCAGAAAGAAGCAGAGGAAACAGTGATACAACAGCCTCAATCAGGCTGTATGATTGCTCTCCAAAGCACAAGGCTAGCTATTAATACCCTGTGCTCCCCTGACAGAACCGAGAGCTGCAAAACATTGCCTGGTGCTGCCTTGAGACAATGCATGGGAGCTCAGGTGCTCAGGATATGCTTAAAGCTGAAATTCCAGGTCAGAAGCTCGTTATTACACAACCTATGCACTCTGGGATGAATCCTCCTCCAGCTCTAGGCGCTAGACTCAGATGCTGGAAAAAGGAAAAGTTGCACTAGAATATGGGTTTGTATGAGTCAATAAAGAAGCTGCTTTTCCCCTCTTTAAATGAATACAGCATGAGCTTTAATASTGTCTTGCTGGGTTTAACAGGGGTCAAAAGCTAGTGATGCTTTGCCAAGGCATCCTGAATAGAGCATACATATCTATATTTTGGTAATTCAAATCCACTGACAGCACTGAATTGTTCTTTTGTGTTTAGCTAATATGTCATGTAATCTGTTTACATTTGCTAGTCTGGCATAAAAACATCGTAGTCTGTGGCATTTGTGGTCGACTATTTGCTTATTAGTTGTACATTTGAACTTTATAAAAGAGGCCACTTGTATGCCAGAAAAAACAAAGCAACAAAACAAACTGACCTCATTATTTCCAAGTTATGCACCAAAGTCTGAGGAACATAATCTAGTGACCGCTGTGAAAGTTCTGGCAGCAGAAACCTTTGCCCTAGGCAGCTGTCACCTTGTGTTTGGTCCAAGTGACTGAGTATTGCACAGCTACTGAGTTATTCTTGGTCCTTTCTTCCTACTATAATCCAAGGGATGGTCTTGTTTTTTCAAAAAAAAAAGGGCTCATATATGGTGGGTGCTTGGCAAGCTACTGCTGTTTTCACATTAAACGTGAAATTTATTCTAGAACTTGTTGAGGCTGTCTGAACATGCCATGAATTTGCAACACACCCTCCCTGTGGAATTGCACGTGCACTATATGTTATATTATCCATGCTGAAACTTTCTTTTCATACAAAYCTCTGTTTGGAATACCATGACTTGCAACTCTTCTTTTTGCAAGAAGCTGTGGACATGGAAAAGGGTGGAGACAAGTCTGATGAGGTAACAGACTGACTGTTGCCATGGGTAGAGGATATACTTTACAACATTTACAACTCCAACTGGGAAAGACTAAAGGCATAACCACAGGATTGTTTAAAGGGACAAATGCCACCACTCTGTCAAAACACAGAAGCAGCTGGCAGATGGAAAAGAGGAGCTGGCTCCATTCTAGAAAAGTGCCACAAAATRTAGCACTGGCAGAATCAGCTGCCCCCCAAGAAATTCAGCCTAAAGCATTTGGAGAATCTAGCTTACCCTCTAGATGCTTTGGGCAGGACTGAAGAGAAAAACCGCTCTTCATAAAGTTTCATAAGATGCTTTTAAAAGGGCCTCACAGATACACAAAAACTCCTTCAGATGATCCCATGCATGGTAGCACCCCAGCACCTTCAGAGTGGTTCCACCTGGTGGAGACTCAGGGGTGCTGGAACACCTGATCYGCTCCCAGGCCAAATTTTGGAGCCTTCAGCCACAGCCTGCAGCAGAGAGGGCAGGAGGAAGGAATAGGAGACTGACTGCCTCCTACACAGCTCCCATCACTCTGTCTGGCAACACCTCCTTKACAGGAGAAACTTGGCCAAGCAAAYTGATTGTGCCCAGTGTACTTCCCAGTGATTCCCTGGAGCTGGAGACCATTCATGTTAACATGTATAAGGTCGGCAGCAGCCTTACAGCCACAACCACCTGCAGCTTACAGCCAGGTGTAAGAGATAATCCCTTCTGTATGATGGCAAGGGAACTGTGTTTGTGCCCAAACCTCACTGCCCTGTTCAACCCCTTGCTCTG